CCTGAAGGTGCACGGCTCACTTTGAACAGGAACAGCCCCCCGAAGTCCCACACTTCCCCTGAAGCCCACCGGGAGATGGGAGGGGAGGCGAAGGCAGCTGCTCTCTCAAGGGACCTCTTGCCAGCCTGGTGGATCTGCTGGGGCTGGCAATCCCCACCCGGGAAAGGGAGGTAGGCAATGAGCGCCAGATCCCCCGCGGGGGAAGCTTGCTCCATCCTTCCTTTCCTTTTGGGTGCTGTTTCTGAAAAGAGGGGGGGTACCAAACTGGAGCGGGAGGACCCCTCCCCAGCCCATCCCCACACTTGCCGGGATCCTGCGGCTTCCTGGGGCGCCTTGGGGCTTGGGGCTGGGGAGGAGAGGAAGCCGGGCACTGTAGAGTCCCAGAGCCGGAGGGAAGAAGGGCCGCCTGGAAGGATTGGCGCATGTTGGCTGGGGGAGCCCGGCTCCCCCCATGGTCCGGTGCTGGGCTTTCCCCCCCCAGGTATCCTGTAGGCTGGTTTGCAGGGGGGACTGTGGTGGGGTCTCCAGATGGGCAGGGCAGAGAATTGGGTCTGGGCTGGGTCTTCTGTAAGACCCCGGGGTGTCCCAGAAAGCCGTGGCGCCTCCAAGTCCATTAGTTTACCAGCGAGCCACCGCCGCCTCCTCCTTGTCTCCTGCCCTTGCTGCATCTCCTGTGGAGACATGTTTGCGTCTCTCTGTGTCTCTCTCTGCCACTCAAAGCCATCCTGCAGCTCGATCCTTGAAGCAGTTTCAATTGGCCCCTTCATTGCCATGGAAATCAATGGAGGTCCGTGGTGACTCGAAAGGCCAGGGGACCCACCTGGCTGAGTTTGGACAAAAGATCAGGCAAGGTCCCATTCCAACCATCGCTACTTTGGCCAGGAGAGATCTGCATTAATCAATCCTCCTGCTCAGTGATCTGTGTTGATGCCAAAGCCGACGAGGCGAAGGCGGTGGCTCGCCGGTAAAACCAATGGATTTGGAAATGCCACAGCTGACCTTTTGAGTCGCTTTGGACCTCCATTGACTTCCATGGGGACGCTTGGCAATGAAGGGGCCAATTGAAATCACTTCAAGGATCGAGCTGCAGGATGGCTTTGAGTGGGAGAGAGAGATACAGAGAGATGCAAACGCGTCTCCACAGGAGATGCAGCAAGGGTAGGAGACGAGGAGGAGTCAGCTATGTCTGTGCACAAGCCCCAAAAGCTTTCTTCCTCTCCCTGATCTTGCCTTTCTTGCTCGCCCTCTGATAGAGGCATCTGCTGGGTTTTCTCAACCTCCCCCCTGTTTTATTTTAATCCCACCAGTGCCTCCCTCTTTTGCATAGTTGACATTCTGGGGACTCGGAGCTCGCTTTGCTCCTGGAGTCACTTGGCGAAGTTCGAAGGAGAGGCCGCCTGTTCCCACCTCCTGTGGAGCAGAACTGCTGCTTCCTCGTACTCCCAGCGAAAGAACCCCAGAGAGCTGGAAGAAGTCCTTTCTCCCACTTTTTGCTTCTCATCCTCTCTTTTCTGAGCACTCCTCCCAGAGCGAGCCAGAAGCCTCAACTCCAGCCCCCCGCAGCAGGCTGAGATAGGCGAGCCCGAGTGGCCGTTTGCTGCCGCCTCGGAAGAGTTGCCGCAGCAGCTCCTTATCCCTGTCGGTCTCCTCCTCCGCTCCCTGGGAACCTTCGCGCCAAAAGGCGGAAAGAAGAAAGTCCCAGAGAGGGAGAGCGCGGGGCAGGGGGAGAGCAGTCTTTTCCGAGGGGAGAGAAGCCAGGACGGCAGAGCTGTCCATACCAGAGCTGGATGGGGGCCAGGGCCGGTACATGTCTTACCTTAAGCTGTACTCTTCAATCAAGTCCCCTGTTTTGGTGTCATGTCCTAGATAAAAAATTCTGAAATATGTTCCAAAAATCAGGTCAGCTAAATATATCTGAAGTTGTGAAGCCACTACTTTCTTGGTCTTCTTACGCAGCAATGGAATATTTGTGACTGACTATAATTAAACAAGATCTCTGGATCAAGGGAACAATCTTATTTTCAATAGTGATCTAATAACTTCCTCCTTTAAGCAGGCAGGAACACACCCTGCATTTTAGTAATCATTAATTACTTCTCAAGATTGGACCTGTTCCAGTCTGGCTGATTTAGTCAGCCAAGAAGTACAGGAGTTGAGCCATCAGGTCATAATGTCGTTCAAAACAGATAGGAAAATACTACTTATTGAGCAATCTCAATATGGGCATTTAAATCTCGACTTGAGAAAAAGAGACTGTTGTGCAGTTAGAACACTAATGTTTTCCCTACATTTTCACAGTTATCCAAATGCAGTTACAAATACTATACTCCAAACTGAGAGATGATTAGATAGAAATTCTGGTTAGTGAGATGAAGTTCCTATAGACTTACCTATGGACATCACTCTACAAGACTCAGTCAACTGCATCATAAAATAGCACAATAAACACAGCTAGGAGAGATTACCCTTTCCTTTACCATAGTTCACGGGTCGGCAACCCGCGGCTCCGGAGCTGCATGCGGCTCTTTCAGCCGTCTCCTATGGCTCCCTGTCCTCAGCCACCATGTGCAGTCTGAAAAAAAAAGTGGGACTAAAAAAGTTCAACCAATCAATTCAAACTTCTCATGAAGTTTGAATTGATTGGTTGAACTTCTTTGGTTTGTGGGACTGCCCACAAACCTCTTTCCTTCTTTGGACTGCATGTGGTGGCCGGGAGGATTGCTGGAAAGGAGCCACCAGTGGCCGGTCTCGGGGTGCCTCTTCCCTGCCTGGCGGGTCTCCCCTCGCCCTGCTCCGCCACCACCTCTGTTAGTCGGGGGGTCGCCGGGGATCTCTGTAGCTTCCCCTCTCCGCCTGCGCCTTTCAGCCATCTCATGGGCAGCGGATCCCCGTGGTCTGTTTCAAGAGATTCCCCCACAGTTCCTGCCCTGCCCTTTCTCCACCTGCTGCGCGGTCCTCTTGGCTGTCCTCCCGCTGTTGCTGCTGCCAGTCGTGCTGAGCGAGGCCGAAGCGGCGGCGAGCAGTCAGCCATGCCCCTTTGCCATCCTGCCACCATCACCACTGCTGGTTGCGCTGAGTGAGGCTGAAGAGGTGGTGGCGAGCGGGCAGCCGCGCCACTTTGCCATCCGCCCGCTGCCGCCTCCACCGCCCTCGCTGCTGCAGGAGGAGACTTTGGGCTGAGAGGGTGGCGGGGCCGGCAGCGGGTCGGGACCCCCCATCATCCCTGCGGCGGCATTCCTCATTGCTGACACGGCCGCCCATGGTGCACCCGGCCTTGGCGCCCTCTTGCGATGGCGAAGTGGCTGAGGATGCGGCGGGGACCCCCGACGATGCTGCAGTGGCTGCTGCCGGAGCCGCTGCCTCCCATCCTGCTCTCCCTACCCGCCCGTTTGGCTTAGGACACGGCGGGGGTGGCAGCCGGACCGGGGGCGGCGGGGAACCCGACGATGCTGCAGTGGCTGCCGCCGTGCCGCCGCTGCCACCACCGGAGCCGCTGCCTCCCATCCTGCTCCCCTCCCCACCTGTTTGGCTGAGGACGCGGTGGGGGTGGCATCTGGGCCGGGGCGGCGGGGACCCCAATGATGCTGCAGTGGCTGCCGCCACCAGAGCCGCTACCTCCCTCCTGCTCCCCCTCCCCGCCCATTCGGCTGAGCACGCGGTGGGGGCGGCAGCCAGGCCGGGGGTGGCAGGGACCCCTGACGATGCTGCAGTGGCCGCCGCCGTGCTGCCGCCACCACAGGAGCCGTTGCCTCCCATCCTACTCCCCCTCCCCACCTGTTCAGAGCTGTCTGCCTTTCGTTCTCTTTCTCTCCTCACCTGGAGATAGAGGGAGAGGGAGAGGAAGAGAAGTAGAGAGAGAAGAAAGAGAGAAAGGAAAGAGAGAAAGAGAAAGAGAGGAAAGAGAGAGAGAAAAAGAGAGAGGAAAGAGGAAAGAGAAAGAGAGAGAGAAAGAGAGGAAAGAGAAAGAGAGAGGAAAGAAAGGAAAGAAAGAGAAGAGAGAGAGGAAAGAGAAAGAGAGGAAAGAGAGAGAGAGGAAAGAACGAGGAAAGAGAAAGAGAGAGAGAAAGAGGAAAGAGAGGAGAAAGAGAAAGGGAGAGAAAGAGGAAGAGGAAAGGGAGAGAAAGGAAAAAGAAAGAGGGGGAGAGGAAAGAGAAAAAGAGAGGAAAGAGGGAGAGAGAGAAAGACGGAGAGAAAAGAGAGAAAGAGGAAAGAGAAAGAAAGAGGGGAAGAGGAAAGAGAAAAAGAGGAAAGAAAAAAGGAAAGAGAGGGAGAGGAAAGAGAGAGGAAAGAGGGAGGGAGAGAGGAAAGAGAAAGGAAAGAGCAGAAAGAGAGAGACACACAGAGAGAGGCCCTTTTGACATCTAAAATGAAGATAACACTGCATATATATATAAAAGGTAAAAAAAGGATATACTGTATGCAGTGTTATCTTCATTTTAGATATCAAAAGGGTTTTGCGGCTCCCAGTGTTTTGTTTTCGGTGGGAAACGTGTCCAAGTGGCTCTTTGAGTATTTTGGGTTGCCCTGCCCTAGTTTGTCTCCACAATATTTCAGCACTTTCACCCAGGATTAAATCTTGAATAATAGACATTTTACAAAACGATGGTATAAATTATTTCTTGATTTGGTGCCAGCATCTTCTGAAATAAACTACTTCCTTTTTTGCATCTTGACAATTTTGTACATCATTTAAAGATGAAATATTAAGCAAGTTTTCAAGCTTCATGTCACTAAGTCTCTATTTAAATTTGAATAAAGAACTCTGAAACATTTTATATTTATTTCAAGTTGATATTTTTTTTTTTATTAGAGTTAAAGTATGTTAATATTTGATTGTATTATGTTTGGGTATTTCTATTTAGATTTGTGATGACACGTGCATAACCCTGTATTCGGTTCTGGGAAGTCCAGGGGGGAGGGGGGGAGGGGATTAAAGATATAAATGTAAATTTTGGTATACTAAAATGTTATAGTGAAATAATGTATTTGAAGAAGATGAGATGCTCAGCTGGCGCCCAAGCCGCCGAGGTGGCCGCACTGCGCGTCGAGTGGGCCGTGACCCTATGCGGTACAGGCCAGGAATTGGCCTGATACGCTCCCGCAATGCAAGCTCTTATCCAATGGACAATCGTAGAAGCCGAGACCTTCCGGCCTCTGGAGGCCGGGTGGAAGGAAATGAATAGAGCCTCGGAATTACGAAAGGTGGCCGTTCTTTTGATGTAATAACGAAGGGCCCGGCGAACATCCAGGGAATGCCACTGCCGTTCCAGAGGATGGGATGGATTCAGGCAGAAATCAGGAAGCACGATCTCCTGGGCCCTATGGAAAAGGGAGTTGACTTTGGGCACGAAGGTGGGGTCTAAGCGAAGGACGACCCGATCCCGGTGGAATACACACAGGTCTTCCCTGACCGAGAGAGCGTCCGAAGGATGAGGAAAAGAAGGAGGTGGGATGTGTAGGGTAGTTGAGAGGAGGAAGGAGGAGAGAGGTGTAGGTAGGGAGAGGAGGAGGGAAGTAGGTAGGTAGGAAGGGTGAAAGAGAGGGTGGACGCAGGCGGGGGGGGCTGCTGAGCATCTCTGAATAGATGGGTTTTTTTTCCTTTTGTTTATTTATGTATACCATATTTGTAATTTGTCTGTTTATTTGAAAATTAATAAAAAATTTGAAAACAAAAAGAACTCTGAAACATGATAGTTAAGCTGTTGTTGGTATTGCAATAATAAGGTTGGTAACCAAATCTTCTATCCAATTAACTCTAGCTTAAACTGGTTTTGAGCCAGTTTAAGTCCATCAAACATAGCTGGAATTAGTAAACCCATTACTACATTAAACCAGCATCCCACCCTATTGTTTTAGTTTCTGACTACCTTATACTGGCTGGAGATGATGGGAACTGTAGTCCAGCGGAGCAAGAGAGCTTCTGTTTAGGAAAGCCTGGCATAAATTACTATAATGCCTGTATTAGAATAGTATTTGCCATATAGATGTAATTTCACTCTGTAACCTTTTTCAATTTTCATCCTTCCCTTACTTTCCAAATGCAGATTATTGACAAAGAAATCAATCCATTTGTGGACAAATGGGAAGAAGAGGGAGAATTTCCAGCACACCAAGTTTTCAAAACTCTCGGGAAAGCTGGATTTTTTGGAATAGACAAGCCAACCGGTGAGAAAGGAACATACTTTTAACAGCTGCCTGTAATTTAGAAAGCATGTCTAATATTTGGCTGAAGCATTTAGAAGCTGGCCTTTCTAAATACATCCTAATTATAGCATTTTAACTTGGATGGAGTGGAATATAAAGTCATGCAAAAGCGAATACAAATATAAGTTTACTAAAATCTAAAGCAGGCTTTATGTGGGACATGTTTTGACATGGTACTCGAACTTGTTTTTTAATTTAGCTGTCAAACTACAGTATATAAATCTTCATAACCTTCTTTAAATAATAATAATAATAATAATAATAATAATAATAATAATAATAATAATAATAATAATAATAATAATAAAAAAAAAGTTGGAAGGGACCTTGGAGGTCATCTAGTCCAACCCCCTGCTCAGCCAGGAAACCCTATACCATTTCAGACAAATGGCTGTCCAATCTCTTCTTAAAAACTTCCAGTGTTGGAGCATTCACCACTTCTGGAGGCAGGTTGTTCCACTGGTTAATTGTTCTGTCAGGAAGTTTCTCCTTAGTTCTAGGTTGTTTCTCTCCTTGATTAGTTTCCATCCGTTGCTTCTTATCCTGCCTTCAGGTGCCTTGGAAAATAGCTTGACTCCCTCTTCTTTGTGGCAGCCCCTGAGATATTGGAATACTGCTATCGTGTCCCCCCTCGTCCTTCTCTTCATTAAACTAGACATACCCAATTCCAGCAGCCTTTCCTTATATGCTTTGGCCTCCAGTCCCCTAATCATCTTTGTTGCTCTTCTCTGTACTCTTTCTAGAGCCTCAACATCTTTTTTACATCGAGGTGACCAGGGCTTTTTTTCAGCCTCTTTTCCACCGCCTTGAGTTTGGACCGGTGCGGGAGTAGTTTGGGATCCTGGCGGGGAAATCTCTTGTCCTTACGTTCATTTTAAACCCTCCCCGATAAAGGCCACACCCTCCCCGATAAAGGCCACGCCGGCCGGGCCTTTTTCCACGGCCTTGCGCCAAGGCGGCGCAAGGCGCTGAAAAAAAGCCCTGGAGGTGACCAAAACTGGATGCAGTATTCCAAGTGTGTCCTTACCAAGGCATTGTAAAGTGGTATTAATCCTTCACGTGATCTTGATTCTATCCCTCTGTTAATGCAGCCCAGCACTGTGTTGGCCTTTTTGGCAGCTGCAGCACACTGCTGGCTCATATTTAAGTGATTGTCCACTAGGACTCTCACAGTTACTACTATTGAGCAAGGTACTCCCTATACTATATCTGTACATTTGGTTTTTGTTGCCTAAATGTAGAACCTTAGTTTTTTCACCATTGAATTTCATTTTGTTAGATAGCGCCCAGTGTTCAAGTTTGTCCAGATCCTCCTGTATCCTAAGCCTATCTTCTGGAGTGTTAGCTATTCCTGCCAGCTTGGTGTCATCTGCAAATTTGATGATTTCCCCATCTATCCCCTTGTCCAAATCGTTGATATAGATATTGAAGAGCACTGGGCCCAGAACAGAGCCCTGGGGCACCCCACTACACACTTCCCTCCATGTAGATGTGGTTCCATTGAGGACCACTTGCTGAGTATAGCCGGTCAGTCAGCTACGGATCCATCTGGTGGTGATGCTGTCTACCCCACATTTTTTTGTCTTGTCAAGTAGTAGGTTGTGATGTATTTATCAAATGCCTTACTGAAGTCCAAGTAAATTATGTCCACAGCATTCCTCTCATCCACTAATTTTGTCACTTGGTCAAAGAATGCAATAAGATTTGTGTGGCATGATCTATTTTTGATAAACCCATGTTGGCTTTTAGTAATGACTTTGTTTGCCTCTAGGTGTTTGCTGATTCATTGTTTGATTATCTTTTCCAGAATCTTCCCAGGTATTGAGGTCAGGCTAGTAGGTCTGTAATTTCCTGGGTCCATTTTTTCCCCTTTTTTGAAGATGGGAACTACATCAGCTCTTTTCCAGTCCTCCGGTAGTTCCCCAGTGCTCCAAGATCTTTGAAAAATATAGTTCAATAGTTCTGAGATCACATCTGCCAGTTCCTTGAGAACCCTGGGGTGTAATCCATGTGGTCCTGGTGATTTGAACTCATCTAGGCTGGACAGGTGCTCACTTACCATTTTCTTGCCTATCTTAACTTGGGTTTCTATTCTGTTTTTTATGGCACTATTTTTGATAGGTTGGTCTGTTTTTTCCCTTTGTGTAAAGACAGATGCAAAAAACGAGTTAAATCGTTCTGCTTTCTCCCTGTTGCTTGTCACCTTCTTGCCACTTTCCCCCACTAATGGATCAATCATTTCCTTCACTTTTTTCTTGTTTTTTACATGTTGAAAGAAGCTTTTTTTGTTATTTTTGAGTTTGGTCGCAAGCCTTAGTTCATTTTGAGCCTTAGCTTTCCTCACTTCATCTTTGCAGGCTCAGGCTATTTGTTGATATTCTACTTGCTGTTTTAATTAACTAATTTAAATGCATTTATTTATAACTTTAGTTATCCCTCCACTATTTAATGTTCTATGTTAAGAAAGTATATTTTTAAGGTGATTAAGGACTATTTGTTATGAACCTTTGCGAATTACGCAAGGAATAAAAGTCCTAATGATATGTAAACTGAAAAGCCTTACAACATTGTTCTGGCAAAATATTAAACTGACTTTTGCAAGCTACTCATGTCCATTTTCTGACTTTACTGTCTTATTTGCACAACAATATGTACAGCCAAAGAGCATATTGACTCATTATTGGGCTGTTCTGGGAAGATTCCTCTCTAATCAAATAATTTCTGCAAATATTAAAATGTTTTAAGTTCCAAGCACAGTACTTCTCTTCCACTTAGAGATGGATAGAACTGGTTGTACTACAAAAGAATAGTGTGGTTAATAATACGCAGGTTTAATTGAACATGTACAACAAAGTTGGTGGTTTTTTTTGTTGAGCAATACGTGTGTCATCACCATGAAATTGTATTTTCTACTTAAAATCAGCTAACTGTGGAAACAGATGACCAGCTTTCTTACGTATCTGATTTCCTTAATAGAAGTTTTGAATGTGTGGTACACGTACCACCTGTGGTACATTAGCACATGGCAGGTGGTACGCGGCCCTGCCCAGCCAAGTGTAGTGGGGGAGGGAACGAGCCAGCGCAGTGCAGGACTTACTGTGAGAGAGTCCTCCGAAGCTACAGAGTGGCTGGGGCGAGGCAAAGGCCCCAGGATTGGCACTTCCGGCTCATCCGGATGAGAAAGGAGAAGGAGGGGGGTGGAGACAGGAGAGGCTATAAAAGGAGGCAGTTTGGGCGGGAGAGGGAGAGAGAAAAAAAGAGGCAGCCTTGGCAGGAGGCGGAGTCAGCTCTAGCTGTACCAAAGGGAAGGAAGGAGGAGGGTGAGGGGAGAGGAGAGGAGTTCAAGCAGGCCGGCCATGAGTGGATCTACAACTTCTGTGGCAGCCATCTGTGCTGGCAGCAACAAACAGGCAAGAAATGCAGCAGGGGAGGGTCACCCTCCACAAGGAATGAAGAAAGGCAGCAATGAAGAAAGGCAGCATCAGATGGAGCTGAAGCAGGGAGGGAGGGAGGGAGATGGAGAGTGGAAGGAGTCTTATGTGCTTTTGTGACTTTGAAGTTCTGGGATTTGTGCAATGTGGGCTTTGTGTAAAGAGTGTTTGGCAATTTCTATTTAGCTGATGGCTGATGTCTCGTGTTAGCTTCTATTGCTCTGCTATTGTTAGCTGTAAGTTTTGCTGCAAGGGATTTTGAAGTATTTTTCTCCTGAATGGATTTTGCCTGTAGCATTCCTTTACTTATAAATGTAACCATTTGGGGATGCTGCCTTAGCTGGCAGCCAGTACTTACTACATTTTTTTTCTTACTTAAGTGCCGGCTGCTGGTTCCTTAACTTTCCTTTCTAGCCAGTAGCTAATTCTTAAAGGGGAATGCACCTTTTTAAGCTAGTTCCCTTGGCGGCTTGTCTTTTCTGTCTCTGGAGGCTTTTTCTTGTTTGATGAATATATTTATTTATTATTTATTTATTAATTGAATTTTTACTCCGCCCTTCTCCTTGCGGACTCAGGGCGGCTGACAGCCTGATAAAAACAACTACAGAAATACCCCAAAAACTATCATTAAAACAAAGTTAAAATAAAATATTAAATTTGGCCTTATTAATTATTAAAATTGCTTTTAAAACCCCTCTAAAAATTTCCCCTTAGGCCAGTCCTGCTTGTTGGAAGAGCCATGTCTTAAGG